ATAATTTTATATGTATACATATATATATATATATATCAAGATCAAAAAAAGAGAGAAATGAGGTTAAGTTTGATACTGAAAATTCCATTAACTAGAGCCTGCATAGTTCTGAGAGTTTAATTGCACCTGCTTGCAGGAGCATCACTTTCTCACCTACTGATCATTCCTCAGAGTCCCTGAGTGGTGCAAACAGTTAACACGCTTAAATGAAAGGTTGGAGGTTCATGTCCACCCAGAGGCACCTCTGAAGAAAGGCCAGGAGATCTACCTCTGAAAAATCAGCCATCTAAAGCCCGATGGAGCACACTTCTACTATGACACACACGTGGGGTCGCCATGAATTAGGATTGACTGCAGGGCAACTGGTTTAATCATTCCTCTGGATTTTGAGTGAGTCACAACAGTTAGTTTGAGCCTTTTGATGTTGAGTCTTATCCCCAGCTAGACCATCCGAGTGTATTATTCACTTTAAAAACCTACACTGGTCCATGATAGATGCTCATTAGAGGTTTGTTGAGGGAAGGAGGGAGGAAATGAGAAAGAAAGAGGAAAAGGAGGGAGGAAGAAAAAATGACTTCCAATTCAAATTTCCTTGTCACTAAAATAAAGCAATCTTTGCTAATGTTTTCACTCTATTTAAAACTCTGTTAAAAAAAAATCATCTTTTTTTCATTCTTGCTTATAAACAGAAACCAATAGCTATTGGGTGTTATATTAGGATAATTAAATGTAAGTATCAATCATTCTAGAAATTTTCCCTATGCTCAAGTCCAGCTCTTTTATTCTTGCTGTTCTAAGTTTATTTCTTCAAATTTTAAATCATCATATTAATGTTTCTTAAAATCACTCCGAAATAAATTTGCCTCAGGCACTTTTCTAGCTTTTGAGACAAGTTTTTCTCACATTACATGAGTCAATAGGAAACTCAAATTCCAGTAAGAAATAATAATACTAAAACTAAGTATGTATTGCTGCTGGGAAAAAGTGCTGGTCTGGAATTCAGGAGACCTGTGTTCTAGCCCTGGCTCTGTCACTGGCCATTTGAGAGCATGGGGTAATGAGACTAGATGACCTAAGTTCCCAGCAACTGCTAGAATTACATGATTTGCAAAATTTAGAAATTGATTTATAGATATATAAACACACATATATATACACATGAACTTAAATAATCAACCTGCTGGTAGGAGAATCAAATACAAATTGCAGGGTGGAAAAAAGAAAGGAAAGAAAGGGACAGTTGTCTCTCATATTTAACTAATTAGAATTAATAGTTACCAGTAGTACCTTTTTCACTGCATCCTTCAGCGTTTGCATGTTTCTCTGGATGTGCTGGTCATTACCCTGAATATGCTACAAAATGAAAACAAGAGTAACTATTTTAATGTGTCATGCTGAAGCTTAATGAACTTCATCCTCTCTATCTGAAGCATATTACAATTCACTTGGTATTAAAGTTTTTAGTAATTTTGTCCACAGTGACCTAGATTTCACCAGTGACCTAGATTTCCTGGGCTCTTGAATTCCCTTGGACACCAAAATCTAGTCACTTCCCTTGCATGGAAGCTCTCTTCAACTTTAGGAAACCCTACTGAGGTTTCAGTTTGTGGAAAAAGTTGAGTGTTTTATGTAAATTCCCTCAGGAATAAAATCCAAATTGCAACTCATCAAAACCATGCCTACAGAACAAAAAAAATTACATAAACATCATGCATGAACAGTAGCCCCTCTATGATAAATACTAGGTGCCCATTCCACTCAAAACTTTTCTCAGAGTGTTACGTGTTCAGAGGCATCAAGTTCACACACCTCTCTGACTCTGTCACGTCCCATGACATCAAAGGGGCCACAGTCTCTGCACACCCATCCTGAACATTAAACCTTCCCACTCTCCTCTTTTTCACTTTCTGTTTCCCATGCCCCTCCCCCAAGAACTTTAACTCAGTTTCTCCATTTCCTCAGCTAGGCTTTTTGCCTTAAAGCTCTAACACATTCTTCATCACACATAACCTAAGTTGTTGTTCTCTAGGAACAAGTGAAGCTTCCATGTACTCGTTTTTTTGCACCCTGTTCACCACCATAAACTCAAAATGTGACTCAAAGTAAAAACAAACACTCTCTTATTCCAAATGACTTTTGACAATAGTGTTGCTGAGGCACCTCTTACTGCCAATATCCTGGGAGTAGAGGGGACAGAAGAGGAGGGGAAGAGTGTGGGTTAAGGTGAAGAAAGGGGCTTTAAATGGAAGAAGGAGAGAAGTAAGGAAAGCAGCTAGGAATGGGTGGACTTGGGCTGAGAGGAGAACTTACGCATTGGCTTAGCTTGTTGCTGAGTCTGTCCAGGAAGGGCACCACCTCCTGCATATAGGGCTGGAATCTATCGGACTGGGGAAGCAGCACTTCTTCAAGAGTGAAGTTCAGCACCTGTTTCATCAGATAGCAGCGCTCACTCATCTGCAGAGCAAAAGTTAAACAGCAGGGATCACTCACAAAAGGCAGAAGTCCAGAAGACCCAAACCATCATCACCACCCTTCAAATAACCACAGCTGGCACCCTGACTAGGCTTACATGGACTCCGTGGAACAGTTTCTCCCCAGTGAGACGAACATCAGTGTTGTTATCTGCCAAACTGGCCTGGAAAAGAAGAAAAGACTAAGTACCTGGACACTGAAGAGATAGAAGTCTGTAAGTAGAGATATACCCCAGCCCCTCTGCCCAGAGCAATCCCATGAAGACCAAAGAAAGAATTCAGATGTGTGCATGAGTTTAATAGAATGTACCAAGGTGTGAAGCAAAAAAGAAATCATTAGGTGGGCTACCAAATAGCTCCTCTTTGAGTAAAACTCAATGTTCCGTATCCTAAAGACCAAAATAAAATGTCCTTTGGTATAATTAGCTCTCCAAAGAGTCTACGACAAAAAAAACCTGTTGCTGTTGCTTGATTCAGACTAATAGCTATCCTTTAGGACAGAGTAGAACTGCCACATAGTGTTTCTAAAGAGTGGCTGGTGGATTCAAAATGCCAACCTTTTGGTTAGCAGCCTACCTCTTAACCACTGCACCACCAGGGCTCAAAAAGTCTGTAAAAGGACATAGAATACTATTTCTGGTCTACCAGTGGGTATAAGTGTTGGGTATTTGAAGACCTTAGAAATCCTCTGAAGAAAATTGTATGAACTATTTAGGTTCCAAGTAAACAAAATGAGAAAGAGAGATTGAGACAAGTACCTCCTTAGCCAGCATGAAGGTGCGGTTGGTGATATAGGGCTGCTGGAAGTTCGCCTTGTCGAGCCTGCAGTGGGAGCTGATGGGCACAGCTGCCCCTTCCTGAACTGAAAGGGCAATGAGCAGGAGGCAGCCAGCAACCAGAGTCCCCACAAGGGAAGTGCTCACAGACTTCTGTAGGGTGGCCATTGTAGAAAATGCAAACTCGAGCAATTGGCGATCAGGGGAGGAGAACCTGGTATCAGGATAATAAGAGGCAGAGATAACATGAGGGGAAAAAAATTAGTCAAGAAATATCATGCCAAACAAACCAATCATACCAAGTTTGCTGAAACACTTACCTGTTTCGATGATTCTTCTTGTGATGTGAATGGTGAAAGTCGCTGCTTTTATAGCCCCCGTGACACTAATTTTTTTTTTTGTAAAAAAACGACATCAGCAATAATCTAATTTCCAGTATTGTCTTCTGAGAACTACCTAACCACCACAAAAGCTCACAAAACACCACCTACTATTCTTCCCACCTTGCAATGTGAGTGTTTCCCTAAAACGTCACTATGAGGGCCCAGAGGGTGATTTCACAGTTAAATCCCAGAAATTTTCTAAACCTTACATATGTTTCAAAGAAAGCAATTGCTTTGTCTTAGTAGATTCCAGGTTTAGTATAATAGTCTTTGATCTCCTAGAGTAACTGAGTAAGCATTTTGGTCACGGACTCATTTTCCTCCCAGTTTCTTAGATTTTTATCTCATTAGAGGTGAACAGAGATAAAGGACCCATGTCCTATATCCTCTGCTTTAAAGTAATGACATCTTGGAGGTAATTCCATTTTTTAAAATAATTATATCTCAACTATTTTAACATGTTTAATCCTAAACAAGTGCTTATGTTGTAAAAATAACAGTGTTGTCTCATCTAATCACTGTTTTCTTCCCATTTGTGGACTTTTTCTTAAGTGATCATAGCAATTATGGTAGATACAAGTACAACTTAAAATTTTATTCATTGAATTATAATCAATATTAATTTAAGTTTAGAAATAAAAATTCTAAACAATCTGATCACCATTTTTTAACATGCAAATATTTTTTAATAAAAGAATATGGTGGATTCAGTAGATACAAGCTTATCTTGAAATTCTGTGTGTTTTTTCTAAACTGTGCACAAGTTAAGTTTCAAAATCATATTTCCAAACAGTCTTATAAATATTTTTATTATATATGTGGATTTCTGAAGAAAAGAATCTAGCAATAGAAGGGATAAAACTTGACTTTAAGTTATTAAGAATACATTGAATCCTAAATGCTACCTAAAAACTAGATGGCAAAGGAAGTAAATTTTTTATAAGTCTCCAAGTTCTAAATTGACAAAAGAGAAACTGGAAAAAGTTAGTGGAGGTGACCCTGAGCACAGACGCCCACACAAGGCTGGCCAACTTGATTGTTCCCCTACCCAATTTCACCTTCTCCTCACTTACAAAACTTACTCGTTTTCTTTCCACAACTATCTATTCATCATTAGAGGAAATTTTCAGTAAATAAGCAAGAAATCTGCTTTGAAAATACAATTCATCTATTTCTCAGGGAAGGAATATGAATTAGGGAAATTTAGTTTAATCAGATTTTTCTCCTCACAACTAGTTAAGATCAGGAGTGTTGAGGAACTGGGAGAAGGGAAGTGAATAACTGTAGAATCCTGAGCATTTTGTGAGATGGTACAAATCCAGGTGAGGTGCCACAGTGATGTGTTAGGATGGCCTGAGGACATAGCATTTGGGAAAGTGGCCTTAGGAGAAAGATGCAAAAGGGAAGGTCAGGGAGAGTAAATAAAAACTCCTTTATTCCAAATGTTTGTTTGGGGTTGCTCATGAGCCTGAATAAAGATGAGAAACTTTTCTTTACCCAATTTTCTATTACATGAGATATACACCTTTTTTGCCAGGAACTCTATAACATAGCACCTAGAAGAATGCCTGGCAAATAGAAGGTGATGAATAAATATTCACAAAATCCTGGCTTTGTCACTGGCCATCTTGAGATCATGGAGTAATGAGACACCATGATCTAAGTTCCCATCAAGTTCTAGACTTCCATGATTTGCAAAATTTAGAAATTGATTTATAGATACATAGACACAGCTATATACACATGCACCTGATTAATGAGCCTGCTGGTAGAAGAATCAAATAGAAATCACAGAGAGGATAAAAAAAGACAGCATTTGTCTCTCCTGTTTAATGACTTAGCATGAATATGCTACAAAATGAAAACAAAAGTAACTATTTTAATGTGGCCATGCTGAAGCTTAATGATTGAGTTTTCATTAAATTTACATGTTGATTTGGGGAGAATTAATATCTTTATAAAGGAAACTCATTCCATCCAAGACCACTGACCATCTCTCTACCACTTAAGATTATCTTTTATAGCCTTTGGCAGTGTTTCTACATTTTCTCTGCTGAGGTCTTATGTATTATATTTAATCTTAGTTACTTTTTAGAAGAAATAACATGTTAATAATCACTTTCACCGAAGTGTGCATGAGTACCAAATTGACATGGAGAGAGTACTGGGGTACTCATCTCCTGAAAACATGGAGAGCAAGTGCTTCTTGCCAGGGTCAGAGGAGAGGAGGAAGCAGAGGTACCTGGCAAAGAGCAAAAGCCTGAGACTGAGGTTTCCAAAGATAAACTTTCTTTACTTCACAGTTCTGCTCAAAGCTGACCCTGAAGATAACCAGGACCACTTCCTACCATGCCCACTTCACCCCATCCTCCCTTGCTACGCCCTGCCCACAAAGGCACCTGTCAACCACAGGCAGCTTTTCCTTCTTTTTGAGGGCTAAAGCTTATGAATCAATACTATATCTCATCTTAAAGGGAAGACTATACCCACGGGAATGTGTCATAATATCAACAAGAGTTTTTTCTACTCTAGTAATGCCAAGTACTGAAATCAATTTAAAAGACAGAGGGAAACATTTATGCAAATTTCTCGCTATTCTTTTGCGTACAATCAAAATTTGACATTTGCTTCCTAATGCCTGCCATCTACTGTCATTGATTTCAAAGACTATTCCATTCCTGTTCTGTATTATTCTGACTAGTAAGCATAAAGAATCATAACTCATATTAGCTTATACCATCAGATATTCAAAGATGTAGTTAATTAGCTAATATCAATGAATAATTTGTCTCAGTTCTACAATCAGTATTATGATTTCTAATTTTTCTCAAAAGCATTTTACATAAGTTAAATATTAAATTTTAAAAATTCGTATTCATAACTCTAGGTATCTTGGTGAAGTTTTACCAAACCCGCTCAACCTCTGATGGGAAAATTGTGGACTAGGTGAACTAGACATTTCTGATATTCTCACAACTGTGTTGAACCTTTGAAAATACAAATGATGAAAGAGTTCCAATTCCAAGGTGATTTGGTTTTAAAACATCACAAAGGTTAATCTTGAGAAAATGCTCCTTTTCTCCTTTGTCACTATGCTAATTCAAAGGCTATGTGTGCCTACAAGTTGGGTGAAGCATTAGTAAGTTGAGTTAGTTGGTCAAGATGTCAGTTTGAATCAGTAGCAAGTTTGAAATGCATTATGTTTTAAAAGAGATGCAATTTGGTTATGACTTCCAAATTATTGCAACAAAATGAACTAAGCTAATAATATTTCATTCTGTTTTAAAAAGTGACTATTTGTTGCTGTTGGAATATTTTACCAAGAAGGGGTCCTTGGAGGTGGAGCCTACATGGTGCTATAGACAGAAGCACCATGCTATCCATCTGCAGCAAAGACCCAAAAAAATACGTGAAACAGATACAAACATCAATCCTGGAACTCTAAGTACCAAATGAAGGAATAAAGAACTCAATCAAGCACAGAATGGAATAGGAAACTGACAGAGAAGAGAGAACGAGAAGAGCTATGGAGTGGAGGTCCTATACCAGCTAATGTGGACAATTTTGCCATCTTGGGCTACAGCCACCGAAGAACTCGGGCAAGAAATACAGGAAAGCAACTTCATGGAGCTCCCAACAGGAGACAGAGCACCCTGTAACCGTGGATACACACTTTCCCACCACCCATCCTTCTTCCCCCTATGCGGTCCCCATTGCTTGCCAATGGGTCAAGGTTGTTCGCTGGAGAAACACTTGCTCACTTCTGCCAGGCTCTGCCTCGCCCCCACCAGCTGGCCCCTTCAGCACCATTTTTTGTTTGTGTGTTTGTTTTTTGTTTTTTGATATAGTTTTTTTCTTTTTCTTTCTTTTTTGGCTTTTTTTGTTGTTGTTAGTACTTCCCTCTCTTTCCCTACTTCCTTTCTTTTCTCCTGCCCAGCTAGCCCTTCTTTATGGCTGGGATTTTTTGGTTTGTTTGCTTTGTTCTTTTTTATTTCATTTTATTTATTTATTTATTTGTGTGTGTGGTGGTGAGGTTTGGTTTTTTCTTTATTTTTTGTTTTTTGATATTTTGAGGGACTTTTTTGTGCTTCTCTCTCTCTCCCTTCCTTCATTTTCTTTCTTCTGCCCAGGTGCCATCCCCTTCCTTTCTTGACAGGATGTGATTTTTTGGTTTGTTTGCTTTGTTCTTTTTTTTTTGGCTTTTCGGTTTGTTTGTTTGTTTTTTTTGTTTTTTGCTATTCTTTTTTTAACCTTTTTTGTTGCTTCTCTCTCTCTCCCTTCCTTCCTTTCCTTTCTCCCTCCCAGCTAGCCCTGTGTGCCCTTCTTGAGGGGCTGTGATTCTTTTGGTTTGTTTGTTTTTTTCCTTTTTTTGTTTGTTTATTTGTTTTTTGATATTTTGGGGGGGATTTTTGCTGCTTCTCTCTCTCTCTCTTTCTTTACTCCCATACAACTAGCCCTGTGTACCATCCCCTACCCTTCCTGACTGGCTGTGATTTGTCTTGTTTGCTTTGTTTGTTTATTTCTTTTTTCTTTTCTTCTTTTTTTCTGTTTCTTCCCTCTCTCATTTCCTTCCTTTCCTTTCTCCTGCCCACCCAGCACTGTGTACCACCACATCCCTTCTGGAGGGGTCGTGCTGCACAGCTTCGTTGAAGTCACTGCACATAGCCTCCCCAGATCTGCACCACTGTCACCAACCAGCTCCCTCAGCATCATTTTTTCATTTATTGTTTGTTTTCTTTTTTTTTGTTACTGTTTCTTCTCTCTCTCTCTCTCTCTCTCTCTCTCTCTTCCTTCCTTTCTTTTCTCCCATCCACCCAGCCCCATGTGCTGCCCACAACTTCTTGGTGGGCTGAGTGTACCACTTGTCTGGAGAGCCTCTGACACAGGGCCTTCCCAAGTCTGC